TATTGTGGTATTAGTTAGTAGCAGTAGTAGTAGTAGTAGTAGTAGTAGTAGTAGTAGTTTAGTAGTAGTAGCAGTAGTGTAGTAGTAGTAGTAGTAGTAGTAGTAGTAGTAGTAGTAGTAGTAGTAGTTAGTAGTAGTAGTAGTATTCAGTAGTAGTAGTAGTAGTAGTAGTAGTAGTAGTAGTAGTAGTAGTAGTAGTAGTAGTAGTTAGTAGTAGTAGTAGTAGTAGTTAGTAGTAGTAGTAGTAGTAGTAGTAGTAGTAGTAGTAATAGTAGTAGTAGTAGTAGTAGTAGTAGTAGTAGTAGTAGTAGTAGTAGTAGTAGTAGTAGCCATCGTCGTCGTCGTAGTAGTAGTAGTAGGAGGAGGAGGGTAGGATGAGGGCTGCTGTTGCTGAAAATGATGATGATGATGATGATGATGATGATGATGATGATGCTGATGCTGATGCTGATGCTGATAATGATGATGAGGCGGATGACGATACTGATGCTGATAATGTTTGGATGGAATGCAGGAAGTGGGAGTTAGTATGAGCAGGGCCGCACAACGTTGTGACTCAAGCTTTTTCGGGGCCAGGCGGCCCCCGGATGTGGCACCAGGCCGTCGCTTGGGCTTGGGAGGCTTCTCTGACCTATTTCGCCTCCTGTCCCAAACCCCTTCCTTGTCCCACTTGCCCGCAGTGCCCTGCGATACCGGCGCTGCCAGCGTGCCCGGCGTGCCCAGGAGCGCCTGCGCCTGTTTCGGCGCCGAGCGCTAGCGGCGGGCTGTCGGGGCTCTCGGACCTGCGGCTCCTGATCGCCTTCGCCAGCCTGCTGGTGCTGGCCAGCTGCGGGTGCTTGGGGGCGGCCGTCGTGACGGTGTGGGGCACGAGCCGCCCGCTGGGCCGACGCTCGAGTGCTGCTGAGCCGCGGGCAGAGAGCACGCCCACCATCCTCGACCAGGAGGCCGAGCTCGGATCGCTAGCGCAGGAGCAGCTGAGCGTGATCCGACAGCGGCGCAGTCGCGTGTGAAGGTATGGCTGCGGCGGTGCCGCCGCCAGTGCAGGGCCTCGGGATCGAGGCCGGAGATTTCGGTGCTGTTCAGTATAATGTGCCAGGAGCGCCCTTGTACCACGAGCGGTTGGTTCTCATCGAACCCGGGGCTGGCACCACCGTGAGTGTGCTGACCCCAGACGGCGACAACTACGAAGAGGACTGGCTGCAGGGAACCGACATCATTTGGTTCGGCCTGATGGCTGGCGGCGCCTGTGGAGGTGGAGCTCCTCTCGGCGCTGGTGGGGCGGTGGTGCCCGTGTATCGGTTCCAACACGTGCCGACGCCTGCGGCTTTCCAGGCGGCCCGCGCAGTCGCCGCGGCGCGCAGGGGGCTCCCCGTGCCCGCCGACGGCAAGCAGCCGAATCTGGCAGGGCGGGCAATCGGCGGCGGCGGCGCTGGTGGGATCGGCGCTGGGGCGGCTGCAGCAGGAGGAGGCTTGCCAGCCGTGGGAGCTGGAGTCGGAGCTCTGGCTGCGGCCCTGGGTCTTGCGCCTGTGGCCCCTGGAGCTGGCGCCCTCGTTGGCGCTGGAGGCGTAGTGCCTGCTGCCCCGCCGGCCGCTGGTGCGGCAGCCGCTGGAGGTGCTCTACCTGGAGCCGGGGCCGCTGTTGGCGCTGGCGTGCCTGCTGCTGCTGGGCCACTCGTTGTGGGTCCTGGCGGTGTCCTCGTACCTGGAGGCGGTGGTCTTGGAGTTGCAGCTGCTGGAGGAGCATCGGTGCCTACTGTGGATGTTCGTATCCAGCCTGTCGGTCACGATGCTTCGGGAGCTCGGTTTAGAGAGTTTCGCCTCGCCGTCGAGGGCATGGTGGAGACTCCGATGAGCGACTTCCCAGTGCGCGGTCCGAGGACCACATTGTGGCTGTGTCGGTTCATGGTGTCGAACGGCCAGACCCCTCTCGGTAGACACGCTCGGTTGAAGGCAGACGCCAGTTACAGCAACGATGGCGGAGTCGAGAACCGTCTTATGTGTTGCCAGATGTTAGAGAGCTTGGCCACGTTCGATCAACTGAACCTGCCCGACATCGCTGGAGCGGAGATCATGGCCAGATCCATCCAGCTGTCCGAGGAGAGGTACCGAGACCGCATGCCCAGTTTTGCGGGCAGCAGTGGCGAGACGACGCAGGATGCCTTCCTGTACATGGGTCTCGATCGTGTTCGTGGGAACATGGCCGTTTGCCCAGCGCTGCAGTCCTGGGCGTCGGCCGAACTCCAGAAGGAGGTGTCCGTCATGAAGGAGAGACGTAAAGCTCGAGAGGAACGGGCCAGCGCCAAACAGAACGAGAACAATACCAAGAAGGACGGAAAAGACGATGGCTGATCCATCGCGGGCGGCGGGGCCAGGCCGACCGCCGCCTCTCGGGATGGAGGCCGCTCCAGGTGATGCCCGCGCTTCGCCTGTTTCTTTTGTGCATATTTCCCCCCCTCCTGGTCTTGAGCTCGAGACCGACCCCTCTCACCCCCAGCGTGCGTCGCCGCCGCCTGGCCTCTCTGGTCGCGCGGGCAAGCGCCCTAATGCTGACCGCGAGCGGGACATCTTTCTTTTGCTTCTTTTTTTTGTCCAGAGGTGGTGGCGGTGGGGTGCGCGCGCGCGCGTGTGTGTGTGTGCGTGTGTGTGGGGGGGGGGGGGGCAGCAGCAGGCAGTTTTGCACCCGTGCCGCAGCGTGCAGAGAAGGCGCCGCAAGGTTCAGCATTACCGTGATTGGGCTAACGATGGGATTTCTTGTCTTAACCAGTTGTCTGGGGGTGGACGTCCAGGGGCGCTCCCATGGGCCTGAGAATGCGGGACAGCGGGATGCCATCAAACACGTTCGCGATACTTACTCTGCCATTTCAGCTGCCCCCACAGATCTGGCTACCGGCGTGGGATCTTTGCGCGAGATCTGCACCGCTTCAGGACTCTATGACAACGGGTCTGGGTCCACTAGAAGGCCGCGCAGTCGGCGATTACTCGCCCTCCCCCGACCAGGTGCATGCCGCTTGTGTGACGACAATGTTGTCAACGGGGGATACCGATTGGCTGTGCGATTATACGAAGCCAAGGCCTTACATCAAGAACTGGGTCCGAAGGAACCATATGTCGGCCCCTTCTTGAAAAACAACCCCAGGGCCTACTCCGACTTTCTGTCCCTCCTCTTCGATCGCGGGATGCTCGACTGGACTTTAGCCCCGGAGATGCCCCATACGCTTGGAGTGTTTTTCGCTGCCAAAAAGGATGGGAGGATCCGTGTTATTTTCGACACCCGCGTATGTGACTATTCATTCAGGGACCCGCGATCTACTAGGCTGCCGACGGCTTCGTCTCTCAGTCAGGTGGAGTGTGATGGGCCTGCGTTCGTGGCCACAGGAGACATCAATGCCGCGTTCTATCGGATGTGGTTGCCATCCTTTTTGCGTGCTCACTTCAGGCTGCCGCACATAGCTGCCCGACATCTCGGTCTCAAGAATTTGAACGGGCGCGCCCTCCACCCTAGTGCACTGATCGCTCCTCAGCTATGTGCGTTACCCATGGGTTGGTCGTGGTCACTACTGTTGTGTCAGAGTGTGGTCAGACATGCCATCTCCTCCGCTAACATCCCTACCTCCCTCACGGTCCTGGGCGGTCTCCCGGCGATGGTGGTTAAGGGAGACGATGTGGCGGTTCCAGGGCACGTTGACAATGTTTTGACTATCGGCACGTTGGCACGTGACGATGTGGCAGAAAGGTCTTATGCTTCACGAGGTGGAGGAGGGCGCCCAGGATTTAAGTTTTCTCGGCCTCCAGCTCACTGGAGGAGACAGGCTCTCGATAAAACACCGCAACCTGTGGTGCCTACGCTACGCCATCGAGGCGGTGCTGCGACGGCGACGCTGTAGTGGACACCTTATGCGGGCACTCCTGGGACATATTATTTGGGCCGGGTTGATCCGCCGGGAGGTTTACAGTGTTCTCCAGGTCAGTTATGCGTTCGCGTCCAAAAATGGCCCCAGGGTTGTGGAGATCTGGCCAGCTGTTCGACGAGAGCTTTGGACTGTCAGGTGTCTACTACCGCTACTGAATGTGCGCTGGACTGCAGGCTGGCATACGACTGTGCCGGCTACAGATGCATCGGCTTTCGGTCTAGGGGTGTGTACTAGACAGGCCGAGGCTGCTCACGTTGGTGCGATCGGTCGGATATCCGAAAAATTGAGATTCAAGGTTGAGCAGTGCATCGAAGCGCGCAACCACGCGCTCCTCGACCCCGTGGACCCCCCGACAGACCCTCAGGAGCTCGAGCCCAACGATCCCGGCTGTGACGACGGCGACCTACATACTGGCGGCGGCGACGGCATACTACCTGGTCAGGGAGTTACCGACGGCGACGACGTATGTGACGATGGCTGTGAAGGTTACGCCAAGGGGGTCAATTCCAAGGTCCTCGACGGGGCCTGGGTCTGGGGGTGAACATATGTATAGGTCGAGTAAGCCTGAAAACACAATAGAGGATCTTGCCGCGTCCTTCGACGAAATCGATTCTGAATTTATGAGTGACAAGTTTTGGAGCACCGTGGTGGCTACTAGAGTACGACACCGTTCAAACATCTTGGAGCTCGAGAGAGATGCTTTGGTCTTAGGTTACCGACACATTCTCAGGACTGGAGGCGCCCGAGGCTCCCGGGTGTTGGCTATTGTTGATAATCTTCCACTTTGTCTGGGCGCCGTCAAGGGTCGGGCCCAATCCTCCTACCTTCTCCGACCTCTCCGACGTATCGCGGCCCTGTCGATGGCCACTGGTACACGACTGTATGTGAGATGGGTTCCCTCAGAGCGTAATCCAGCCGACAAGGGATCCCGGGGCCAAGTCGGTTTCTTTGCAGGCCCGTCTTGGCTCGAGGTCCACAATAAGGCTCCAACCGACATCCAACTCCAGCAGCATCCCGATTCCAGATGCCCGCATGCCGAGGGCCAAGGGGAAGCCGGCAACTCCGCGCCAGCTTCGGGCCTCCGCCAAGGCAGGGAAGCTGAAGAGGGAGAGGTCCATCCGAGCTCAGCAGGCCGCCGCGAAGGTGGAGGCCACTGTCGCGTTCCCGTGGATGAGCGTGCTGGAGAAGATTGCGGTCAAGCCCGGCACCGTGGCATTGTACCAGAGGACCCTTCGATTGTTCTTGGAGCACTGCCAGAGACTGGGCCTAACATGGGCCTGTCACGACGAGCTGGACGCCATCACTGTGGGTTACATGAATGCGATGTACCTGGAGGGCCACGGGGCCGACGAGGCGAGCCGGCTGCTGGCCGCGCTGGGCTACGTCTTCCCGGAGCTCAACAAGGGGGCGCGTTTAGCTTTGCCGCGCTCGACACGGTGCGCCGTCAGCTGGAGCCGACGTGCGCCAGCCCAGTCGCGCCTGCCGCTGCCGCGGCCGGCAGCGCTCGCGATCGCGGGCGGGATTATCATGCTGGGCATCCCGAGGATGGCGATCCTGGTTGCGGTCTCGCACGCCTGCTACCTTCGCCCCATCGAGGCCATGGCCCTCCTCGGCAAGAGCATCGTGGCTGCGGTGCCAGTGGCCGGCGCGGGGTACACCATGATGGGACTGGTCTTGCACGAGACCTCGCTCGGGGTGCCAGGGAAGACGGGGGCCTTCGACGACGCGGCCACGATCGACGACCGCTGGCTGTGGGAGCCCCTGCTCGGTCTGAAGGCCGCCGGCCACGCCGAGAGCACGCTGTGGGATTTCAGCAGCGAGCTGCACCGCGAAGTGTTCAGTGCGGTGGCGGAGGGTCTCGGACTGGGGCAATTCGACCCGCGTCCGTATCAGTTACGCCACGGTGGTGCGTCAGAAGATCTGGCCTCACAGAGACGAACCCCCGAACAAGTCGTGAGAAGAGGGCGGTGGACGACAACCACCTCTCTCAAGCGCTACGGCAAGGAGACAAAGATGTTGCGAGTAATCAGCCAGATCTGTCCGTCCGTCTTCAGCTTCGGAGGCGAGGTGCTTCAGAATTTCAGCCTCGCCATCCAACGAGGTGTCGGAAGCCGTCAGAATCAAGTAGCAATGCCAGTGCTTTTGGAGACAGGGGTCAGGCGCGAGGTAGCCAAACTACACGTCGATCTACTGCGCCTGATCCCAGCCCTCCGCCCAAGGTGAGCTCCAGTTTACAGGTGAGCAGGTGCCTTCAACGCCTGCTCAGCCGTGCCCAGAGAAGTGCGCCCCACAACCGACGGGTTATTTTTCTGGATCTCTTCGCTGGGGATGGGGGCATTGGCCGCTTCATGAGATCCAAGGGCTTTCCTGTGCTCAGTTTGGATATCCGAAACCACCCGCTCCAGGACCATCTCCACCCTACGTTCAAATCAATTGTGAAAGGCTGGATCCGAGGGGGCGTTGCGGGCGCAGTCTGGCTGGGTACACCGTGTACTAGCTGGTCTATTGCTAGGCGACCCGCTATCAGAGATAATAACAACATCTTGGGTATCCCAGGGCTTACTCCTACTCAACAACTCCAGCTAAATATTGGTAACGATACGTATCTCTTCTCTACTCAGATTATCCGCTTGGCTATCCGTCACAATACGCCTGCGGCGCTCGAGAACCCCGGTACTTCGATGATGTGGCGAGCGCCGCAGTTGTGTAGTCTCTTACGCCACTCCAACTGTGTCGTGCATGCTTGCGATATGTGCCAATTCGGAACACGCTGGAAGAAGCGGACCCGCGTCGCCCTGTGGAATGCGGGTACTTGTGCAGGCATCAACCGTTTATGTCGACCGTGCGGTAATATATGTTCACAATCCAGGAAACCTCACATAGAACTGACGGGTAAGACGGATCAAGGTATTCATTGGACAGCTCTCGCAGCCGCCTGCCCGACCAAATTTTGTGCTGTCTTGGGCCAACACTTTATCGACATTATGTTGAACAACAAAACTATGAGACTAAATGATATGTATGGTGTGCGGCCTACGGCCAGTTGACCAGTCGGGATCGGGTGACGGAGGCTCGGCCTCGACGACCCCGCCGCTGCCACTCGTGAGCCCGGCTGCCTCACTTCCTCCTGGGAAAAAAATGTCCCCTCTGGCCCTGTGGGTGCTCACGGTCATTGTTTGGATGGAATGCAGGAAGTGGGAGTTAGTATGAGCAGGGCCGCACAGAGTTGTGGCTCAAGCTCCCGCCCTGTTCAGTCACTGCCCGCCCTGCTTTGGCCTTGTCACTGTTCTTTTTCTCTTTTATCCCAGGGGTGACGGAGGCTCGGCCTCGACGACTCCGCCGTTGCCACTCGTGAGCCCGGCTGCTTCACCTCCTCCTGGGAAAAAGATGTCCCCTCTGGCCCTGTTGGTGCTCACGGTCACTGATGATGATGATGATGATGTTGATGATGATGATGATGATGATGATGATGTTAAGGTGGATGATGAAGACTACTCACATGATGATGTTGGTAATGATGACGATAATGACGATGATGATGATGGTGATGATGGTGATGATAAGGATAAAATGATGATCATAACGATGATTATGATGGTGATGGTGATGGTGATGATGATGATGATGGCGATGGTGACGATGATGAGGAAAGTGATGATGATGAGGACAGAGAGGACAGCGAAGACGAGGATGGCGGTAATGATGGTGATGATGATGATGACGACAATGATGATAATGATGATGTTGCTGTTGATGACGATGGTGATGACAACGATGATGGCCACTAAGCTGATGATGATTGTGATGATGACGATGGTGATGGTGGTGGTGATGATGATTATACTTATGGTGATGATGATGATGGTGTTGGTGTTGATGTTAATGATGATGCTGATGATGAGAGTAATGACGATGATGACGATCTTGGTGATGATGATGTTGATGTAGGTGGTAATGATGAGAAGGAGAAATATCATCATGATGATCATGATGATGATTATGATGATGATGATGCAGATGCTTCTGCTGCTGATAATGATGACTATGATGATGACGATGAGGATGATACTGATGCTGATGATGATGAGGCTGATGATGATGATGATGCTGATGCCGATGATGACGATGATGACGATGATGATGATGATGATGCTAGTGATGATGATTATGATGATGATGATGCTGATGATGATGATGGTGGTGATGATGATGATGATGATGATGATGATGATGATGATGATGACCGGTGATCGGTGATCGGTGATCGATGATCGATGATCGATGATCGATGTCGAGGAGGAGGAGGAGGAGGAGGAGGAGGAGGAGGAGGAGGAGGGGAGGAAGAATAGGAGGAGGAGGAGGAGGAGGAGGAGGAGGGTTATCACATGTGATACCTTTCGTCTTCACTTCTCGAGGAGCCCTCATGTGCTCATTTGGGTCAACTTGGGGCTGTTCTGGGCTCCTGTGGAGCAGTCTTGGGGGTCCTTGAGGGCCCTGTCAGGCCGTCTTGGGCTGTTTTCGGTTCTCTATCTTGAGGCCTTCGTGGCAGTCCTGGGAGTCGTCTGGCGGGTCTCTTGGAGCCGTCGTGGGGCCGTCTTGGACCGTCCATGAGTCCTCTTAGGCCGTCTTGAGTCGCTCCGGAGGCCTCCTTGGGCCAGTTTGAGGCTCTCTTAGGTCCGTCCTGGGCTGTCCCGGGGCCGTGTTGGGCTGTGTTGATTGGAGCCCGCGGCGTTTCGCGAGGCGCACGCGGGCGAGTTCGGGGAGTAGAGTTCCAGCATATAGCCCTTGCCTCTTCCTCGTCCTCCCCTCTCCGATCGACGGAGAGACCTGGCGGCGGGGCCGAAACCTACTGCATGCAACAGTATTTGTGCCTCCCTCTATATCGCCAAGCTCCCACTTGCGCCCACTCGCGCATCCCCCCCAGAGACGGTCGGACCGAGGTGTAAGATCGAGGTCGGTTCGGGGAGGGTACCCTGGTGTTCTTCGTGTTTGTTGGACATTCTCGGGACGGGTACCCTCGGTGATCTTGTGGCTTGGAGTGGTTTGGCCTGCGGACGGCCTCAGTTTCTTGAAGGATGCACTTCTGTGCTAGGTCAGACCGTACCAGACTGCAAGGCTGTTTAGCAAGTCGGGGGTTGCTAGAGGTGCCCGTGGCCCAAGGTGCCCCAGCTTTTCGCTCAACTTTGGAGCCCCTAGGGCCCTTTGGGCCTCGTGAGGGTTGCTCTGGAGGCCGTGAAGGCCTCCTTGGACATCCTGGGAGCACCTTGGGCCAGGGGCACTTCTAGTAACAGCCGAACAATCCATGGGTTGGGCTTGGCACCCCTCACTTCTCCCATCTCCCTCTCGGCTGGGGTGTCCCTGGGCTGGCCCGCCTGGCGAGCACCCCCGCTATCCCCGCAGGTCGTGTGGAATTTGGTCGTGTCTCCCGACGGGGAGGAGTACTACCACAACGTGCTTACCGATGAGACGGCGCGCCAGAGAGAAGGGAGGGAGGGAGGGAGGCAGGGAGGGACAGAGAGGAGCCGGAGGAGGAGGAGGAGGAGGAGGAGGAGGAGGAGAAGGAAGGGGAGCAGGGGGAGCAGGAGGATCAGCAGGAGGAGGAGGAGGAGCAGGAGAAGGAGTAGTAGTTATAGTAGCGGTAATCGTAGGAGGAGTCGTAGGAGCAGTAGTAGTAGTAGTCGTAGTCGCTCGTGGGCGTAGTAGTAGTAGTAGTAGTAGTAGTAGTAGTAGTAGTAGTAGTAGTAGTAGTAGTAGTAGTAGTAGTAGTAGTCGTAGTGGTGGTGGTGGTGGTGGGGTGGTGGTGGTGGTGGTAATAGTAGTCGTAGTAGTAGTAGTCGTCGTAATAGTAGTAGTAGTAGTAGTAGTAGTAGTAGTAGTAGTAGTAGTAGTAGTAGTACTAGTAGTAGTAGTACTAGTAGTAGCAGTAGTAGTAGTAGTAGTAGTAGTAGTAGTCTTATTAATGGTAGTAGTAGTTGTCGTCGTAGCAGTAGTCGCAGGAGTACTAGTAGGAGTAGTAGTAGTAGTAATAGTAGTAGTAGTAGTAGTAGTAGTAGTAGTAGTAGTCGTAGTAGTAGTAGTCGTAGCAGCAG